TTGACCCAGGTCCAGCCTGCAGTGCTGCAGCAACTGAGGGATCCTGGGGATCCACTGGGATCACAGCCAGGAACCAGACAGGATTGAACCCAGATCCATCCAGGATCCACCAGGATTGAACCCAGATCCAGCCAGGATTGACCCAGATCCAGCCAGGATTGACCCAGGTCCAGCCTGCAGTGCTGCAGCACCTGAGGGATCCCACAGGACCCAACAGGATCAAGTTGGGATCCAGCCCCAATCCAGCCAGGATCGAGATGGCATCGAACCAGGATCCAGCCCAACTCCAGGTGGGATCCAATGGGATCAAGTTGGGATCCAGCCCAACTCCAGGGTCACAGCCTGCAGGGCCAGGGCCCGTGCTGCAGCAACTGAGGGATCCACTGGGATCCAGCCAGGTTACAGGGAGGATTCCAGTCCCAGGATGCAGCCTGGATCTCGCCAGGAATCAACCAGGATCTCACCAGGAGTCAGCCAGGATCCAGCCCAGATCCCATCAGGAATGAACCTGGATCTCACCAGGAATGAGCCTGGATCCAGCCCAGATCCCAGCCCAGATCCCAGCCTGGCTCCATCCTGGTCCTGGGAGTCCCCCCAAGCTCCTCTCCCTGCACCTTTTGAAGCTTCCGAGGATCCCCCTCAGCACCAGATCCCACCTGGATCCTCCAGATCCCACCTGGATCCTCCAGATCCCTCCTGGATCATCCAGATCTCACACAGATAATCCAGACTCCTCTGGGATCCACCAGATCCCTCCTGGCTCCACCAGATCCCTTTTGGATTCACCAGATCTCACACAGATTCTCCAGATCCCATCGAGCTCCACCAGATCCCTCCTGGACCCTCCAGATCCCTCCTGGACCCTCCAGATCTCACACAGATCCTCCAGGCCCCACCAGGACCCACCAGATCCCACCTGGACCCTGCAGACTCCACCTGGACCCTGCAGATCCCTCCTGGATCCTGCAGATCTCACACAGATGCTCCAGACCCCTCCAGGATCCTGCAGATCCCTCCTGGACCCTGCAGACTCCACCTGGACCCTCCAGATCCTGCTGGACCCTCCAGATCTCACACAGATACTCCAGGCTCCACCTGGACCCACCAGATCTCTCCTGGATTCTCCAGACTCCACCTGGACCCTCCAGATCCCACCTGGACCCTCCAGATTCCTCTTGGACCCTCCAGATCTCACACAGATGCTCCAGACCCCTCCAGGATCCACCAGATTCCTCCTGGACGCTCCAGACCCCAGCTGGATCCTGCAGATCCCCCCCGGATCCCTCTCCCAGGCCCCCATCCCTGTCCCGAGGCAGCGGGGCCGGCTCGGCCGGGACTGGACTCCCGAGGATCCCCGGTGTGTCCGTCCGTCCCCGCGGGATCCCCGGGGCCTGGGACGCTCTGATCCCCCCGGGACCCCCCCAGGATCCCCCCCCAGGATCCCCCCCCGGGATCCCCCCCCGGGATCTGGGGGTCCCACAGACCCCCCGGGATGGATTTCCCCGGGGCCCGGCACCGAATTCCTGCGGGATTTTTCATTGTTCCCCTTGGGGACAGGAGCTGCAGCGCCCCCCGGTGGCCTCGGCCGGGGGATCCCAAGTGCCTGGGGACCTTTGGGGACATTTGGGGACACCGAGGGGACCCTGTCCTGGCACCTGGGGTGGCCCCTTGGGTGATGTCCCCAATGATCCCGGCCATGGTCACTCGCCAGGTGACATCCTCTGGTGGTCCCAGGGGTGGCCTCGATGTCCCCCAAGTGGTCCTGGCCCCCAGTGATGTCCCCTGGTGGTCCCAAAGGTGGCCTCAATGTCCCCTGGTGGTCCCAAGGGTAGCCACAATGTCCCCCAAGTGGTCCTGGCCCCCAGTGATGGCCTCAACTGGTCCCAGCCATGGTGGCCTCGATGTCCCCTGGTGCTCCTGACCCCCAGTGATGGCCCCAGGTGGTCCCAGTGGTGGCCACAATGTCCCCAGCTGGTCCCAACCATGGTGGCCTCGATGTCCCCTGGTGCTCCTGACCCCCAGTGATGGCCCCAGGTGGTCCCAGTGGTGGCCACAATGTCCCCAGCTGGTCCCAATCATGGTGGCCTCGATGTCCCCTGGTGGTCCCAGTGGTGGCCTCAATGTCCCCTGGTGGTCCTGGCCCCCAGTGATGTCCCCTGGTGGTCCCAGCCATTGTGGCCTCGATGTCGCCTGGTGGTCCCAGTGGTTGCCACCCCTCAGGTGCCACCCCCAGTCCCCTCCCAGTGCCCCCCAGTTTGTCCCTGTCCCCATGCTGGGGCTGTCCCAGTTTGCACTTTATGGTCAAATGTCCCCTCGGTCCTGTCCCCGTGTCCCCAGCGAGGGGACAGCGGTGCCACCCCCCTGCCCTTTGTCCTTGTCCCTTCTGCACCCTCGATGTCCCCACCCTGCCCAGTGGGGACACCCCAAAATTTGGGGACACCCGGAATTGTCCCCCCAGGCGTGGGGGGTGGCGGCTGTGGGGTGGAGGGACCCGGTCCCGTATGAAGCCCCCGGGGACACCTTGGGGACACCCTGGGGACACCTTGGGGACATTCCCGGGGACACCCTGGGGACATTCCCGGTGCTCCAGAGCCTCTGGAATCGGTGACATCGATGTCCCCAAAGTGGTGACAGAGCCTGCAGGGTCCTGGCCCTGTCCCCACCCCCGGGGGCACCTTGGGGACATTCCCGGGGACACCCTGGGGACATTCCCGGTGCTCCAGAGCCTCTGGAATCGGTGACATCGATGTCCCCAAAGTGGTGGCCCCTCCATGTCCCAGCCCTGGACCAAACGGGGACACTGCAGCTCCTGTCGCTCTTTTTTTCTTTTTTTTTCTTTAATTTTCCTTTTTTTTCCGGCTTTTTTTTTTTTTTTTTTCTCTGATTTGATTTGATTTTGATTTTATTTCGGTTTTTTCCTTGCTTTGGGAAGCTCCTCCCTCCTCGCGGTGAAATAACAATCGTGGTAACCACAACCTCGGGTCGCTGATTTACCCATGTATTTAATGTAAAGTAAAAAAAAACCAAAAAAACAAAAAAAAACCGAACAAGGACAAAAAACACGGACAAAAAAAAAAAAAATCCCAAAAAACCAAAAATTCCCAATTTTTTGTGTGCTCAGGGAGGGGACGTGGCAACAACACCGGGGCCACCCGGTGCCAGCGCCCGCTGCCAGATCGCGGCCCTGCCCTGATAACGCTTATCAGAGCTCGCAGCTGCCTGGCGGCTCTTATTTTTTGCCGGGTTTTGCCGTTTTTTGCCGTTTTTTCCCCCAAAATTCCCACCGGGAAATTCGGGAGCGGCGCTGCCCCTTTAAATCCGCGTGGCCGCTTTAAGACCCCCGCGGTGCTTCGGGTGGTGTTGCCGCTTTAAGGCGGCGCTGGTGGGGCCCACCCTGAGTCAGGCCACGCCCACTGGGCCCCCGTTAAAGTAAACAGAGGGGGCGTGGCCAGAGGGTCGCGCCCTCCCCGAGGCCACGCCCATCGCCCCCCTCTTAAAAGGGCCGCTCCCGCAGGGACTTCGCGGGACCGGCACCGTTACGCAGGTGCGCGGCGGGGACAACCGGTACCGGGACCGGGGTGGGAATGGGGACAACCGGAACCGGGGTGGGAATGGGGGATCGGGATGGGCCTGAGGGGAGGGAGAACGGGGACCGTGCTGGACTTGGCGGGAAAACAACCGGGACCGGGAGGGTTTGGGGACACAACAGGGACCGGTCTGGGCCTACGGCGGGGACGACCGGGACCAGGATGGGGACTTGGGGACAACCGGGACCGGGCTGGGGACTTGGGGACAACCGGGACCGGGCTGGAGCTGGGGAGGGACAGAACTGGGACCGACCGGACTGGGCTGGGGACAACCGGGACCGCGCTGCGGGGAAAACAACCGGGATCGACCGGGCTGGGAATAACCGGGACCGGACTGGGGCTGCCG